CCGCCGCCGTTATAAGTGCCCGATTCTCCGGTGTGCAAAAACTTATTAGAAATAACTGATGAGAAGATACCTATAAAATAATATGCTCATTTTGTTCATTGTTATGCACATAAATTTAATTGGATTTTAAGTAAAGCCACTACACAAAATCGCGATGTTCGAATTTTTTTCTAATTTGACAGACATAACAATTTTTTTTTTAAATCTCCCTCAAAGAGAGACTATTTTGGATAAAATCGATAACCTCAGAATTTCAGAAGTCCACGCTCTTCAAGTACTAGGTGAAACTTTGTAAAATTAACACTGTTTATGAAAATCGTGGATCAATTGTARAATGTTTCGAAGAGATTGAAAATATAACCAAAACATCGCAATTAATCAAGCAGGAGCGTTACGTTGATTGTTGAATCATGATAAATTTATATTTTGGTTGAATGTATTTCATCGTTTAGTGCCACATGTTGACATTTTATACAACATAAATTACAAACACGAATTGATGGCCAATGTCCAGTTCAAGTTAATGACACAATAAAAAAATTTAAAAAAAACATTAAAAATTAAATACATAAGTTTTCAAATGAAATGTCTAAAGACGTTTTAACATAAAAAAAAAAAGATCAAACGACCCAAAGATTTCAAGGAATGCAGGAATTTCAAAGGAAATATATGATGTTTTTATTAACCCTTAATCAAGTACGTCAGTACAAGCCTCTTTTTAACGTTCAGTCGTGTGGGCGTCTAAATCTATCAGACCTCATTTAAAAAAATGCTTAACATATGTACAGAAAGTTCCATTTTTAAATTCAAAGAAATAATTGGTTACTATTATGATACATAAAAATGGAAAAAAATGGAATGATAAAAGATAAAATAAAAATAAATACAAAACTATGTTACTAAAAATGATGTTACGAAAAAAAAACAAACCTAAAAATGTCATACCTTATAAAATGTTGGTTTATAAGAAAAATATTTTAACTTGAAAATCTTATTTTTAGGACAGTAAATAAAATTTTATTTTAACAGAATTTGTTTTATWCTAATTTTTCATATTTTTAAATATGTCCGCTTCCATTTTGAAGCTGTTTGACATATTTTAAAACTTTATACTTAACGAAAATCGTTTAAACATTATCATAAAAACTATCTYCTAAACATAGAAAATAGAAATATAAACAAATGATGTTTTGTAATATATATGTTTTATTTTTGGTCAACTAGACCCCCGCGCGCTCTGCTTAAGAGTTATAATAGCGTTCAGAACCAGTTCGAGCACAAAGTTCTTATATTTGTTTCTTATTTATTTAAATGCTCGAATTTTCCTACACATGGAAAACATTTTCCACAACATTTCAATAAAACAATTGAATATTATCCCGCTTTTGATAACAATAAACTTGAAACTGAATTAAAATTAACATATAAGTGAATCGATTTTTGTGACGAGCCAGCGCCAGTAAATTTATTAAAAATTCTTTATTGTCAGTGTTTTCATAATCGTATAAATTTATATTAATAACTGCAACAATTCCAATGACATCGGCTGAAGCAAAGATATCATTCTCAAGTATTTAAAGAATTAAAACATTCATTAGAAATACAATGGTAGAAGAAAGTCAAATTCATTAACTATGATGTCTATTGAAAAAAGTATGAAATGTCTAATTTAAACGATGAAGTTATTAAAGTGTTTATACAAAAAAAAAAGACTGACATATAGATTTAGTCTTTAAAAACATAACTGATTTTATATAATACTAATTTATATTAAAAATACTGATTGTAATGTGAATAGACGTGTAATAATTGTACAGCTCCAATAATAAATTATAATTAGTATGATATTGTGTTTTTTACATACATAAGACAATAATAATTAGGTACCCAATTAATAATTAGTTATTTTTTTCTAATTTATATTTATACTTATATTTTATTGTGGTAAAAAGCTTAAAAAAATTTAATTTAGATAAGTACATTATTTTAATATGTAGGTACCTAAAGAAAATTAATATTTTTACAATTTTACATAGGTATCATATATATTTTGTATGCACCTTATGTGAACCTCACAGATGCCACTGTTTTTACCTCCCTCTCCCACCTGTGGTATAATTATTCTAGAATATTTTTACAGCTTGTAAAATATATTATATAATATATTTACCCTTACCCTCTCCCTCTCCCTCCTCTTCCATGGGTAAAATGTAAACTAAAAAAAGCAATTTACGATTGTATATCAAATATTTACCAAATATAATAATTGTATAAGTGTAAAATGAATATCACAAGGTGCCAATTATCAAGTTATCTAATAATCTATTATAATTTATAGGCATGCAAGAACGAACACTGCAAGATATCCTACATACTATATAAAGGGTGAAGAAACAAATAATTATGAACGTCAAGACGAACATAATTTTATTATTACTATAAATTTTAATAATTAAAAGGAAAAAACATATATTTATTCTTTTTTTTTTACACAAAATACAAAAGAATTTATTTTTACAAATAAAATCGTTTAAAACTAAATTGGTTTAAATTATAATCACTTATAGTGTATACAATTTTACCAATATTACAACCATATTCGGTAATTATAACTTATCATATTAACGTAAAAAAAAAAATTATATATATAGGTATATTTAGTTTTTATAATATATGATTAAAACTTTCGTTTCTCGACTTTGATATACATAGTAGACACAGCTCGTTCAAATAGACATTAGAAGTAGTACATATTGTATTAAATTATGTACTACGAAATAGAAATATAGTAATATAATGGGTGTAATTTAATAAAAATATAATATAAAATAATATATATAATCTTTTCTTCAAGACGGCAGAACAAAAGAAAAACAAATAAAATGCATATATAAAAAGCGATAAAAAAAAAAAATTAAATACAAATCTCAAAATACCATTCTTTTACAWCATGAAAGGTAATCATTTAAATACAAACAATTATAATAAATGTAAATATGATCCACTATATAACATTAGTGGTAGTAGTGGTAGTAGTAGTAGTAGTAGTAATAGTATATAATCRATACTTTTTATAAGCAATTACAGATACAGTTTTGTTGTGTGTACAGAAATATCGAGCAAACACTATATTTTTTTACTATACAATATACATTGACAGATAAATGAGTGAGGGTAAAAATTAGTCAAGTAATATTATGGTGATTTGTAACAAGTAAAGAGAACATAGCTTTATAATTGTTTTGTGTTTAACAATCTATACATTAGTTAACGTTGCAAACATCTACAGCTATTATACTGACGTAAAAAGCCATTTTTTACTCATGATAATATGTTTATGCATGTGTGCGAGTTGTGTTTATMTGTTTCTTAATTTGTACTTAATTGACTAAATGTATTATATTAATATGTTAATATATATATCTTTGTATGTGTTTAATGATAAAACTAAAAGTTTGGCGCAGTATCTAGGAAGAAACACAAATTGTTTACATATATATATATATGTAAAATATATGTAATATTATTATTAGCACTAATAGTAAGTGACAAATGTGCATCGGATGAAATATTAATATCGTAAAATACAGTTTGTCATTGCCTTAGATAATAGGTATAGTAATAAAAAATAATACAAAACTTTAAGTTAATAACTATGATAATATTACAATGTACATATTATATTATAATGATTTAAAAGCATTTGGATGAATAGTAATAAGTATATCACAGTATTAAAYATGGGTAAACACTTATACACTACATATTAGTATCTGTAACTTCAAGAGCTTAAAGAAATTTAAGGTACAAGTAGCAATGAGAGCAAACAGGTTGTAATAAAATGGACAAAAAAAAAAAATGTTTTAACTAATTATACTAATCATTCAATGGCAAAAAACCTCATATAAATAATATTGCTTTAAAAAATTTAGAATAATATATAGTATATTTGATMATACACTTATATAAATTAAGGTAAAAGAAGATTCAATCATAAGAGTAATGAGCTGTTAAATACTAAACATATATGTGTTATAAATAATAATAATTCATTTTTACAATTTATGATGACATGAAATACTATCTTATGTTGTTGAACCTTTGAATACTTTCAACAAAGGACAGTATAAGTAAAATAATAAGTAAAGATTTACAAAACTGGTTAATACTTCAAAATACTTAATTCAAGTATTCAAATTGGGAAAAATATGTTAGCATAGTAGTGTAATACTGGAATTTATGCATAGTAAATAATCTAATAATAGATTACAGTATAAATAATAATGTTCTAATCAAAATTACCTATACATTTGTATTGTTTTCTTGTTATTGGAATAAATGTATTAATCATTTTTAATCATATAGTTATTAATTGTATATAAATATACTAATGATTACTATCTTAAATACTTATAATTATATATTAAGTATTAACTATCTATAATCAACAAATTCAAGGCATTARAGCTGTTTATATCATACTTAGAAAATTTAAAATAATAGAAGTAATAATTGTGGAGTTGAGAATAACTATTGAGCAGTTAAAAATGTTGAAGTCCTAATTTAGCTAAAATAATAATTAATAATACCATTAATATAAGATTATTCTATAATCAATGACAATACTAAAGGACTGATTATGAAGGAAAATATTTATGAACATTTTTTTGGGAGGCAATATGAAGTGTTAAATTGCAATTATTTTTATTGTCATAAAAATTGAAAGGAATATGATGAACTGATGGTCTGTTTATAAAAATTAATTATTATTATTTCATAATAGATACAAGAAGAAAACTATCAAAAATTAAATTTTTGTATAAAGTCAATAATAGAGTTTATATTATAAGATAAATAAGATAAAACAACAAAATGAGAAAATAAGAAAATGTTAAATACTCAGATTATTTATAAAATAAAAAAATTACTCTTTTCACAGCAATGTTTTCATTTAAATATTACTATTTAATTGAATACTTAAGTCTATACTTAATATTATATACAACTATAGTATACAGCTCTAAGGAAGAAGAATATTTTGATTTGGCAAGATAAAATGGTCATTTGGTTTCAAAAAGGTGTTTCATGAAATGTGTTAGTATATAATATGTATTTAGAAAGCATAAAAGTAAATAATAGAATTTGGAATTAATTTTTTTTATATAAATATAAAGGTTAGTTTTAATATTAGAGTTAATTCCTACTTAATACCAGCTTTCAACGTATAATAATTATTAATTAAATGTTAATTTTTAAGTAGGTATATGATTTTGTAGATAAATTAAATTAGTTTTTAATTGTTTTTGCAATACAAATATGTTCTAAATTATTACATTATCAATTTCAGAAACACCCTGTAGGTTAAAGATAACGAGTTACCTACAACTCAATAACTATTAAAATTAAGTCACCATTACCTACTTACATTTATAACTTAATCTCCCAAAGTATTATGTAGGCATTATTTTCAATAGTTGAACAACACGGTTGCTGATAATTGACATAGCCACGTCCACAAGATACTGTTACTAAAGTGAAATCTTTTTTTGATACATCTGATGATCTGGCAAGTTGTACTGCTGATGATTCATCAGTTGATCGCAAAGACCACCGACTTGAATTTAAAGCGTCTTCATTTTTATCATAGTCTTTGACACACATTAAACGGCCATACAAATCATAAATATCACTAGCTAATGTTTTTGAAGGTGGGCGTTTCAGAACAGTAGGTGGATCTTGTAATGGCACCAAAATAGATATCGGACCGGTATGTCCATGATAAGAAACATTTACTTTACCACTGATTATAGGTACACCTTCTAAACGAGGTAATGGAACAGTTAAGCTAATACCAGCATCAGTTCCAACCCATAGGAGACCTTTACAAGCCATAAGTGCAGTAACATTAACTGGTGTAGCAGTGCCTTTTAATCTTATAACATTTGATGCAATATTAATATCCTGGAATAATCATAATACAAGAAAAAATTAATTTTAAGCAATTATTATCATTTTAAACGAAAATTACAAATATAATTTTTTATAAACACTATAAAAAAAAATTGAATTACCTGTAAATGTTTAAATGTTTCAGTATGGTATAAACAAACAGTTGTTGAATTCATTAGCGAAAGCCAAAGTCCAACACCAGAATGAGCCAAAAGATTAACATTTTTTCCATGATGAATGGTAAAATTTTTCTAAACAAAAATTGAAATTTCTCATTTAGTACAACTAATTTTATATTATTTATTTTCATATTTACTTGAAGTTCTCCAGTGATGGCACTCATAACAAACACTTGTTTACCACATGCCACGTATAATGATAAATTAATAGGTAATATACATGTTATAGGCGCATCAGGGCCCAAAACCACAATCTCTGGTTCTTTAGACTGGTTACCTCTTCTATAAAGTAGCAATGAGCCATTTGATAAAGCTACAAATACAGTATCACAATGATGTTTGATTGCTGTGACTCTGAGGCTCTCGTCTTCACCYGGTAATGAAATACTTGCTTCTTCTGACATGTCAGCAGTATTAAATATCAAAATACTAAAAAAAACAAAAAAAAAATTACTAACCATAAATAATATTTCTTAGAAAATAGAAATAGAAACACTTAAGTTACCTTTTATGATTGGTACCCATCCAAACTGTATCAGAGGCTCTGACATATTCTATAGCGGTTACAATGGTTTGTGGTAAATCTAGAGTTGTGATTTGTTTTAGAATGCAAGTATTATTAACAGACATGATGGCTATATGTGTATTCATTGGAATATTGGTAGTGCACACCCACAGATATGAAAATTTACCACAGCCAGAAGAATAAAAACATCCACAAGTCACCTGCATGGTCAATGTTATACAATTAAAAATAGGTACAATTGTATTAATTAAATTTTAACATTACCTCTGCTTGTTTGCTAGATGAAGTTATAGGATGAGCGCCTACAAATAAAGGCATTTTTGTCATAGGGCGCATCAACTCTTGATCAGGAACTTCCCAAGCTGGAGAATTATTTGGATCGAGAGCCAAACGAGCAAGCCTTAATTCTATAAAAATTTTAAAAAATTGGAAAAGTAAAAAAAAAATTATTATTCTAGAATTTACCAGTGATCCACCCTTTACGTAAATCGGGATTTTCCATTTGAAAAGTGTACCCTTGTCGGTTAATAAATAATTGGAGACAACAGGAATCCATCCATGCTACCTGATCTCCTTTGTATTGCACTTCACACTGTATTGCATTTAACACTCCTTTTAAATGATCTGGAGCAAGATCCTAAAAACAAAAAACATGATTTTGTAAAAATAAATTATTAACAATTAATTTAAAAATGTATATTAAAATTGTAATCTGAAATTAAAACTAACCAAATATGTGCCTTTTAATGTTGACGCTAATTCAACAATACGACTGATTACTTGATAATCATGCATTAGATGATTCATTTCATTACATAAATTGTCTGTTGTGATACTATTATGTGATGCTGCACTTCCAGCGATTGTACGTGAAACACTAGGTAATGACAATGTGTCAATGACCTATAAAAAAAATATAAATTTAAAATTATTATAATAAGAGTAAGAAATAAAATAACTGTAACATACTTGAATTTCAGCAATTGGAAAACTCCATTTGAAAGTTAATCTTTTTTGCGACGTACTACTGGAATCATCTTTGTTATTGACAGAGACACATACAAGCAAATCATTTAATAATAATAGGCGTCGTGGTTTACATTTTCCAATGACATCTCCATGATTAATTTCCTATAATTTTAATGAATATGATGAATTTAAAAAAGTAATAAAATTTAAAAATGTATATTTTTTATAAAGATCTCACTATTTGAGTAACATCATCTTGTCTTAGAAGACATCTGTTGCTGTCTGCTATTGGACGAACAGCTAACTTACTAGACACAGACTTTAACATTTCTTTAAATGCTTGAGCTTGCTCACTCTCACGTTTCCTTTCATTGAGCATTTCTGCTAATGATTCTAATTGAGTTAATGCTAACTGTAAAGACATTCTATCAGGATGACCATAACCTGTATTATGTAATAAATCCTAAAAATAAAAAATAAGCATGTAATAAAAACATATTAAAATCATAATGTGAAATACAAACCTGGAGGAAAAGAATGAACTGTGGAAATCGTTGTACAGGTTTAACCATTAAGCTATAAAATGAAAGACGGTCATGGGATGCTTCTTGTCGATTCTTAAAAAAAAAAAAAATTATATATTCAATAGAAGAATAATATACAAATAAGTACTAACTTTAAAAAATTCTGCAAGAGATGCTTTTCTTTTGGTTTCAGTTTTTGCCAATTCCATTGCATTTAAAAAATTGTTTATAAACCCACTATATATATCCAATACAATAGCTTTACTAAAAGATCCAACAAAAACATCACCAATTCTATGATCACGATCCCAATTTGCAACAGCTTCAGCTAATGCTATTCTAAATAATGTATGGCACTGTAGTATCTCTGGAACTCGATGAAATAGTATTGAAATTTTTGACTGACTTAAAATTGATGGCATACTTTGTTCTAGAGGCTTTTTGTAATCCTAATATCATAAAATATGCAACTTTGAGATAAATATATACTTAATAACTTCATTATTAACTTACATTCACAAGTCTATGAAGAGTAGCTAAATATGAATTTTCACTTCTAACTATATCATCAACAATATATCTACGTCTTAGTTCTTGTTCAGAAATATCAGGAGGTGCTGGTGGAAGACTTGGTGGAATAAGTCTTCTAGAAAAACAGTCTTCTTCAACCTAAAAATATAAAAATTAATTTAAAATAAAATATTATAAATAATATATTTCTATAGCATCTAACCCTATACCTAATAGAATATTTTTTTTATGGAAAGAATGAACATAATATTTAGATATAAAATGACAATATTAACATACCTCTGGTAATAGAGGCATTTTGCTATTTGGCCGAACATCTAGATCGTATTGTGAGCATCTTCTTAATGAAAACCATCTCGATAATAAACCTGGACTAGAAGGTGGATCTGGGGATGGAGGGTTTTTTGTCCATCTTAATGTCTTAGAAACATTGTTTCTAGTATCATAACTCCTGTTAATAAAAATTTGAAATATGAAGAAAAAAAACAATTAATAGAATCACAGAAAAAAACTAACTACATACTTGTTACTTTCTTCTTCAGATGAAAGTTCTGGATCTCTGTCAGAACTTGAACTTTTTTGTGAAGGAGTATGACGCTCATTAATAGTGGTTGATTGTGTTACTTCATCCCAAGAATTTTGTCGCCATCGCACTGACTCATCTGTTTTTCAAATGGAATATTCAGATAGGCACATTTTTTTTTTTATTATTATTCTTTTATTTCTTTAAAACTAAGTCTTATCAAATTATTATTATATACATTTATTATACTCAGACTCATTTAAATTGTTTGAAACTAACATTTTTTACTTGATTTATTAGTTAATTTAATTTTAATAATTTATATAGTTTTTAAGGCATTTTTGGGGTTTTTATTAAGTCTCTACTAAAGTACCGAAAAATATAACACTTAATTTTGTAATACCACATAACATAATTGATACAATATTGGTTAGTACTATAAATTATTTGTATGATATAATCACACTTAATTTTTGACTACAATAAACTATTAAAATACAAATTACTTTACTGAAAAGTAATAAAAAAAACTTAATATGCAAAAACACTTATGTTAAATTTGGAAACAGTGAATCGGCATAAACATTTTTATAAGCAATAAACCAAATTGGTTCAGAAATGTCATCTTCTTTACAATTATTTCTTGTAAAAAAAAGGAATAAAGGACCAATTTGAAACCATMATTTTAAATGAGATATTAAGATTAATTATTTGAAAATTAAGATATTAATGTAAAACAATATAAATYAGGTAGCATGGGAATACCTTTACCACAATTACAAATYAATTAATCAACACGATAAATAAATCCAAGTGAAATTTAACATCACTAGATGGTTAATTGCAAGTACTATAAATATAAAAAAATTGTTTAACCAATGTGTGGGGTAATCTCAATAATTATTTATTTTTTAATATTGTTCTTATGTTATATTATTTTTAATATTCGCATAGACTAAATTTATTTTATTTTTTATCAATGATAAAAAAAAAAAATATAGGCATCACTAAAGACCCGTTTTCCAATCATAGTTTAAACCTCGGTTAATATGCTTGAACAACTGATTTTACCAGCCGAATTCCGTGGTTTAACCGGAGTTCAACTATTGTAATACGGGCCCTTAGACAATAATTGAAAMAAAATACTTTTACCATTCATTGCAAAATATTTGTATTTATTAATTATGCTGTCAATAGTTGATTAACCTAATTTTTGTTAAACAATAATAGTTTTAGAAAAAGATGTTGTAATACTATGTATGTATTTTATAAATACTAATCAAATTAATTAATATAAATTTGTGAATATTAAGTTTAATCAATAATTTTAGGTCTTATCAGTAATGTTTCATATTTTCTTGATTTGAGCATAATGATATTTATGGAATAAAGTGAATATACAATGTCAATATTGTAAAATATAAAGTAAAGTTTACAATTAATAGGTCTAAAAAAATAAAAATTAATTAACTAACCTGGAAGTGATGTTTTACTCGGACTGGGTGAAATCAATGTAGGCATTTTGTTCCAAAACCGTTTTGTGCTAAAATGAGATTTACGAGGCCGGCTTAAACTATTTGTGCCACAACTGCTAGCATCACAAGCTACCCCACTATCTACACTCAAATTCACAGGTGACCCATCTCTTGAAGTTCCTAGATTGAGGCCAGATGAACCATTATTGTTTAAACATGCACCATTATCAGGCATTATCATAGCTTCCATTGATAAATTTAATTCATCCAAAACCTAAAACAAAAAAAACATATAATTATACATTAAAGTTGTGGGTATCATGTTGATAAAAAAACACTTGCCTGTAAATGTTTTGAATGGACATATCTAACTTCTTCATCAAGTTTTGATGTTCCAATCTCTTCATATATATTTTCTTCACGTCCATATCGGTTGATATAACTATGTTTTGAACATGCATGTGGTTTCGACCCATGAGGACCATGCTCATAATATGCATAAGCATAGTCACCGTTGCTGGGAGCAGGTCCACTGTACCGTGGACAGGTACGTCGACCATCCACATATTGTGATTGTTTATCTCTAGATGCCATTTAATCAGCTATGATAAACCTAAACATTAATACATACCAATTCATTAAACGACTTTGGTATTTTAATATTTTAATAAAGTATATTTTAATAAAATACTATTCAATAATTTAGGCAAGCTTAGAAATACAGTTTTCTTATCTCACACCGAAATTGTAAAAAACAGGTAGGTACAGTGAACCATCGTTCATARACAGATAAGAAAATAAAGTAAAACCTCCGTTTCATATGACAAGGAAAAATAGTAATATATAATTCTGATAGGTAGTTATTATTTAAAAGGATATTAACAATGGTAACTATCATTTTTACAATAGGTAAAATTAATTGTGTTTTACAGTGTATAAATATATTAATGAAAAAAAGTTGTATTTACAAATATTATTTAAAAAAATTTAAGGCCAAAATGCTATTAAACAACTCCAGATACTAGTTATTTAATAACTAATAATTAAAATAATAATAAGTTACAAATGAAATATGAGTCAATGCTTTAATTGTTGTATTTAATGTTTGAAAAAAATATAAACAGCAAATAAATAAATATTAAGTTACTCAATTTATATGGAAACTACTACCGAAGCTAGCTAATATTCAATACCTACTTATCAATCAGTGTTGTTAACTAATGTTCACATATTTCAATTAAGCAAGTATACAAAAAAACATGGGAATTCTGTTATTTTATGACACTAACTACATTTTTGTCTTTTAATACTGGTGGTCCACAAGATATATGTTAACAACATTTTTGAATAAGTACAATTTTCAAAATTTTTAAAATAAACATTAATCGGTACATCAACCTAACTTATCTCCTCCCAAGTATATAATAGCTGTATTCATATTTTGATAACTTTTAAATGTATTGCTATAGCTAGATTAGGAAAATTTAAGCTCAAACCTAGGTAAAGGATGTTCAAACAAGATAATAATTAAACTTTTATTAATTATTTTTTTAACTTTTTTATTTCGGGGTATGTCGAAAAACATCAAGTCGGTTTAATTTTTTAAAATATTCTATATTCACCTATCTTTTTAATCAAAATAAATATTAAAATAAACCGGATAAAAATGATTGAAACACTTACGTTTTTTGTAAAACTATTCATTGCCGGAGGTACGATGAAGTAATTCGAAACACAAGCACTAATGAAACATTTTGACTGCTTATGAACAATTGAATCTAATTGCTTATTAAAAATTGTCTAAATATCAAAAATCGCGACGACGACGACACTACACAAATCTAGGGAAATCGTACGCCAAAAACTATGACAAATTGACAAACTACGGCGTGAACTACAAGTAAGAAAAAAAATTATAAATTAAGTACTAACAGAAAAAAAACTTAATCAGACTAACAAGTAACAACATTGGTTAATTGACATTATAGGGGGAACGACTTGTGTGATTCGGGAAAAGGAATAAAAAAAAGGACCGTACTTGAAAAACAGTATTATATTATATACCTGTATRGTATATATAGTAATGAAATGAATAATTATGGAGTGGTGATCAGATTATTTATTAGGTAGCGTTTGGAAGACGGTGATCGTGGCTGCGCTCGGCGGCCATCCGCAATTGTTATCATAGACATTGGACACGTTTCTCCTCCATGCTTGGAGTATCCACAACAATAWAGATAGCGCTCGAAAATCAAAAATAATAAAATTTATCATTTTTTCTACAATCAGTATTCAGTACAATCCAGGTAACCGAATGCAGGCTCTCTACATTAGTACATTACGCATTACTGCATTAGACATTCATATTCATATTGTCTTGTCTAGTTGTCTGCCTTCAGACAATTTATTACAATTTGCGAATCACAATTCTTAGTAKTGAYTAGTGAGCATAAACGCATAGTACGYCATACAACTTAACTGCTCTATACTCAACAGAAATCGAGTAATCTATATACGTTAGTCAACTTACTACAGAACTGCTGCAAATTGTGCGTTTGTWAGTGTCAACAGTAGTTGACGTCAGTCAACAACTAATCTGTTACATACAATAACATAAAATTACTATAAATCTCCATTCAGAAAAACTATGGCAGATCTATATTCCGGTGCACCAAAACAGCAACAGAAACCATCTCCAGATTCGCTGGTAGGTTATATTTTGATGTATCTTTCAGTCCTCCAAATTACTATAAACTGTATTATAACGGCACGTATTGTTACATTGAGTTTATTTTGATTTTTTCTTGTCATATAGTTCTATCAGTTTTCGCCTGAAGAAACAAGAGTCATGAACGAATGCAACAAAGAAAGTTTTTTCCAGAGGAGCCTACCGTTGTCGCTGATCACAGGTGCTGTTTCTTATGCYGCTGTCAATGCTGGTAAGCTATGCTTGAAAACCTTTTTTTAATAACAACATAAGCACCTTCAATTTTGTATTAGGTTTACTAACTAAAATTTAAAGAAACATTTAAAAATGAGTCTGAATTGCCTAAAAAGCATTTAAATATTATAATACTATAATACATTAATTTGTCATGTATTAAATGAAAATTTTCATGTTATTTTGTTCACAGTATAAGTTTGTACTATTATAGTTTTTTTTTTTTTTTTAGGTTATTTAAAGCGAAGTGTGAAATGGGGTCCATGGCCAAAAGTAATGTTTGGCGGTCTGGTCGGTTATCTTATTGGTAAATATTCTTATCAAACAATATGTGCTGAAAAATTAATGCAACTRCCTAATAGTGAACTTGGACGAGTTCTTAGGGAACGCAGAGGAAAAGCAAATGGTGAACTTTTCCAAGGGTAAGAGAATAACATTTAAAAATTAGCTACAAAAACTCATTCACAACTCACARTGATAACGTCTAATTATTTTCATTTATTTTTCAGAATTGCCATTAGTCCAACTATTGTTACATCTGAGACTGATATGCCAACAATTATGACTGATTACAAATCTGATATGAATATTGATATGCATAAACCTATGAGTTCCTTAGATACAGATTATAGACCGAATTATGATGGTAGAATTAATAATATAATAACATTATTCTCATATTTCACATAATTTGTATTTTAGGTTTACCACTTAGGAAGGATAATGAAATTTCAATGGCAAATAGTACACCTACGTCCTATGATGAACTTAGGATGCGTAATAGACAAGAGTATGATAGAACACAACCAAATAAAATGGCATATAGGTAAATCATTTAAAAGCTATTATCCTATATATACTTTATTCATGTTAAGAAATAAATTTGGTAGTCGCCTTGTGCAAAGTTTTGTGGCATTACTACATAGCATGTATTCAGATTCAAATTCTAATAAGTCTTATCGTAAAAAAAAAAAAATGGTAATAGTTGTCTTTAATTTATAAAGTTCTGAGTTTATCAAGGAAAGAGGTATTCTATTAGTTCTATATAAAATATAGCCATTATATTATTAAATAATATCTTGCTTTAATTTGTTTATGATTTTTAAATAACATTATACTGAAAATTATTTTTAAACATTTAGGCCACCACCTCCATCAAATACTCAACCGATATGGGATAATCAACCTTATCCACCATCTGATCAAACGAGGATACCTCAACATAGGGAATCACGCAATCAGTATGGAGATGTTGTATAATTAAAGATAAAATCATTACTCACTTATTAAATGTAATATAATATTAGTTTTGTTTGTTATAACCTAATAAATTATTTTCAACATCTGAAAATACATTTTTATTATTATGTAATTTATTTAGAATTGATATATTGATATTGAATTGATATTGCTGACTGCTATGAATTTATCATTATTTGCTCAGAATAATAATGCATACTTAATACTTTTTTTATCAATAAAAAATCTGTGGTTTAAGTATGCAATCCACTAAACAATACAATCTAGTTTTTAATTTGTTRTCATTGTTGAATATGTATATAATACAGTAAAATTTATATATTATCAATTCAAAAATCAAGAAATTTATTTTAGCATAAATATTTCTTTGCATTCACTAAAAGACGAAAAAAATCAATTAATTTCTTCTAAAAATATTGTTACCTTGCCAAATGCAGTACTAGTTTTAATAAATATATTTTTATTATTAATTTAAAACAATTTAAAAGTTATCAATAGTAAGTAGTATGTGGGGCACTTGARGACACTTTTATTTTTTTATCAACATTAAAAATCATAAAAAAACATAAACATTAAAAAACCGACCTTATATTTTTTTGTTAAAAATTACAAAACATCTAGACATMAATTAAAATTACAAAAATGTAAACTATTTTTAAATGAATCTAAATTTATAAAACGTGCACAATTTTAGATTAGAAAAGTTTCAAATAATACTTTATTATATTGTATACAATATTACAATTTAATACTTTGAATATAATTTAATTTAATTACTACATTATTATAACCATTTTCTAGCCAGATTATGATCTTTAAAAAGAGACTCTGATTGTGGTT